TCCAACCGACGGCGAGTTCAATGGACCCTCGAGGCAATTAGGCTGATGCTAAACTTGTGTCAGCCCTAAATGCTATCAGTTTTTGAGATGTTGTCCTTAACGTGCATAATTGCTATTGGAGGCAAGATCTAGATTCAGGAAGGGCACATACTGCAGGTTTCGAGTAAAAAGCATAAGGACTTCTCAGCTCCCCACATTATGCCTCAGTGTTTTGAAAATTGGGGACAGTTTCATTAAAATGCTGTTCTCTAAGTTTAATACCAGTGCACAGACGACAACACATTCAAAAGGTGCTTTTCTAAGCATTCTACAAAACGCCTGTTTTGATACTGTTTGCAGGTTATTTGCCAAATTTAGCCTCACCTTTTAAACCTACCCAAATTATTCCTCAAATCATCTTAACTATTGTGCTCGTGATCATGGAAGCAGCAGCATCTTTATTTTGACTTTTTAAGGGACAACTCAACCAAAATCAAGGCAGATTTTTTTTGTGCTTCATTTTTTACCTTTTGAAATTGTTTGTTGGTTCTTCTCCTTACGCTGTACGTCTGTGAGTGATGCTTAGTTATCAGCATGACCACCGAGCACCATGGCAGAAACTTGCCACAAAAGTATCTTGCGAACAAATTGTTAAATAGAATGTAAAATTTTCACAGTGAGGTGTAAAATCTTAGTAGATGCGAAGGCAGACGACAACGGCATTCATGTGTCCATCACTCCTTCACAAGTCTGTATTCTAACACATGTATGAAATCATATTAGAGTTTTCCTTTTCCTCTCACCAGACAGATTTAAAATGTCCCGTCCTAGGTTTACTTGCTCAGTGGAGTTGGTGCGGAAAACTATGTGGTCATATTTGGGTGTCGCATGTACAGACGTCGAGCAAGGGCTGAACTCGCATCGTCTTCTTTGAGCGGGCTACACTCACGATAAGGCTTTTAACCTTTTATGGTGGTATTTTCAAGTGGACTGACTGCGATTTGTCAGGATGAGCTGATTAGTAGTAAAGACAATTTAAAACGAAAATACGTGCCAGTCGGCATGCCAAGTAAACTCACGTTTTACTAAGTTGCTTTTCATGGTCTCTAAGTGGAATCCTTGACTTCGACAAAAGCACTCCTACTCACGGTGATTGTGTAGACACCGGCAAGTAATCCAATTAGTAGTGCTCGACGGTGGAACAAGCAAAAGGCTGTTAAAAGGAGTTGATTCGCCAGTCATGTCTTGCATGTTCAACAGTGCCCCGACGGGAGTAGCAGTGGAGTCCAGTGATGTGTATTTAATTCACTTTTCTTGGTGGCAACAATGCCATGTTTTGGGCATTATTTTCAGCAGCATCTTAAAGACTCTAGCTGAAGTAGACAAAAACCTCTGAGGCGAACACATCGATCTTATTACTTTCATGTTCTGTCTTAGCAGTATCTAGCTACCTCTCAAAGACGTTCTTAGCAAACTTAACATAGAGAGAAGGAGTTCCTTCGAGTTACCGCCAATTTTAGCCACCCACACCCTTCAACTCTTCTAAATATCAACGAATTGGTGCTCCTAAAGAGAGGCAAGAGTGTTGAGCATATCTTGCCTCGGTGGTGCTAATTAAGTTCCCGATTTAGTCCTGTTGACATCACAAGCCATATGAGCGCAAGAGTGGCCTTTTAACACAGAGGCGAGTCGTGCTACAACCAGTGGTGGTGAACAGAAAGCTAAATAGAGGGACAGCGAAGGGACCATCGTAATACCAGAAGTGCTTGAAGAAGTGTTACAATCTTCCAGGGTGGACTTAGCCAAAACTAAACTTACTTGAATATGAAAACTAAGTAACCTAAATGCAAAACAATGGAGTGAGAACCTCAGAAGTCCTCAAAGTTACCTTTGACCTCTGGTTTTGAATAAAGTTTAAAGTAATCCTATTAATTTAAATATGGCTACAAACAATCTGACAGTCCATCGCTCACACCCTAAACAAATTACCATTTTTGTGTGTCAATCCCCAAGGCCTTTCACACAGAGCAGGTGACTTGGGCCAAACGGCAGTGCGATGATGTGGATGTGGAGGGAGCTTACGACTGGGCTCCAGCGCTAATGATGCCATTTTGATACGACGTTATTCAAGTAAAGGTGCTCTCTCGGTGTCAATTTCACCACTGTAAATGGGCAATCTTGTTGGTGGAGACAACCAAATTTGCTTATTCCCAGGAGGTCTTATTCTCCCACTTATAAATAGCGCATCTACTGGAGCTTAAGTTTCCTTTATGGACTAAAAATTTTGTGCCTTGATTCACGATTATTTAGTTTTATTCTAAAGGAAAACTCTTGAAAACCATTGCTTACCTCGGCTAGACTTAACACTTAAGCTTATGTTTTAGCCGTCTAGGTTTCAGTGGGCTAGACGATGCTCAGCCTGAAGTGGGCATTCCAAGGTAATTGCAATGCCCGAACGAATATCATGGCTTTATCCGAATGATTTAATGTACCAGTAAAATGTAGTTATTTATCTGCACTGCATGAAAGGTAGCTAAACGTCTTTCAACATAGAAGGGCCTTTTATTGTGAGCAGGGATGTGGAGGAACGCAGGTAGTCATCTGTCGATGAACGGGATGTAACCAAGTTTACAAATACCAAATGTGCTCTAGTTCGCTTTCTACATGCCACCATTGTCATAATTTGGAAGAAGAACTCAATGTGTGCACTTCATATCAACTACATTGCCTATTAATTCTGACTAATCTAATGCCCTATAGTACAACAAGCTCTTCCGTACTTCTAATTGAGAAAGTTTGACCTAGGGAGGGCTTTTTTGGTTCATTACCTCACTCTGCTCCCGATCTACTGAGGTGGTACAACGCATTTGCAAAAAAGGATTAGCCAAACTACAGAATATGAGTTTAGCAACTTGTTTCTTAGAAAGAAGGTTTGTGCATTCGTAGAACAGGGAGGGTAGAGGCAACTTACAAATACATTTATTGTCGATTCGGCCCATTTAGGTAATAAAGAGGCTTCTGTCCAAGCTCTGGCCAAAATGATTGTCTACATCGTCGTACTCCTTTGCATTGCGAAGGTCCACTCGTTAACATTCTTTGAAATTTTATGTTTTTTCATTTAAGGTCCCTTTCTCATCCACCAAGACATAGGGTAGATCCAAGAGCAACATCCACCTTCCTTGCTACTCATTCCACTACCGCTCACCTGCCTCGCGGGTCTTTAATAGGATTCATTTTTTCAACTAATAAACATTGCTGAGGGAGGGAACATTTTTTTACTCTAAGCTCATAAACCAACGAAAGGGAACTTGTGCTTTTACTCTTGCAATGGAAAAATAACTGCAGCAATCATCTTCGTTCTACAATCGACAACTACGAAAGGAGTGTATTGGACAGAGGAAAGTTGGCTTGTGACACGCTTAGACGCTACTAACAACCATTATCTCACTTAAATTTGCCGTTTTTGATAGGGATGACGTAGATAGGAACTTTTTGAATGCCTTATGAACGCTAATGGGAGTTTCTCAACATCGTTATGTACTTTGTGTTAGAACAATTTGTCGAGCTTGAACCAATTTGCGGTCACTATTCTATCGCGTTCAGCTATTCTCAAATCATGTCTTAATGGGATGCTCACCTAGCTGAAGCGAAGCATATTTTGTTGTTTGTTTTGCAACTAGGATTCGTCTTTAGGCAGTTTACCATGCATCTGTCCAAAACAACTATGACAGCTTATTGTATTTTGATGAATTTGAGTTGGCATCGTCAAAGAGGTGAGGGTAACTTTGTGTTTTGGTATCACGTGCTTCCTGCTAAAGATTGACACAAGCACTGGAGTTTCAAAGTGCCATACACACACACACACAAAAGAGTGCGGTTTTGTGATTCCTCAAGGTCACGCTGTCTAAACCGTTATGCTGCATCATCGCATGATGCGTGTTCAACGCTAAAATCAGCGCATTATGTCCATTTTTGTGTCAGAGTTACTTATTTACTTTCTCGTTGGTGAAAGCGACTGTTGACGAAACTGTGCCGCCTGGCATCCGCTGAAGTACACTGACCTGTGTCATTAATGCTGCTTGTAAATATGCAAATCGACTTGGGCCATCATGAGCACTTTCAACCAAACTTAGCTCCAGTAAGCAGGGCAAACATGCTGAAAGCCATTGGCTCTTTGGCGTGAGAACGCAACTTCGTGTCACCGTTTTGAGTAATCAATCGATTCGATGTTGGCGGATCCATTATTTGTACTCACGATCTTAAGTTGAGTTTAGTGCATTCATTTGTCCTAAAATCAGGACGCTTCTCCAACTATTGATTATTTGATTAAGGGTGTGTTAATTCCAGGCTAATTCCCCAAATTAATACGGCTTGCGAAATTCCACTTCTTTTTGGGTCAGAGTGAACAAATTGAACTGAGGCGACCTTACCAAATAAAAGTGGAGTCTCTACAAGTCCTCGCATTAACGTTTCCCTTTTTCCCCCGACTGCGCAACGTACGCGTGGGCGGTCTCAGAAGCATTCCCGTACATACCCACGAAGTGGGTCAGGAAGGTAGACCAATCAACGCTTGCCTCTCATATGATAGGCTCTTCGGTCCGCTAAGCGCAAAAGCATGCGCATGCGTGCACGCAGACAAGTTGGCTCAAATAGGTGTGCGTTCGTGCGTGCACACACATCGACGCACTCGTGTTCGCGCCACATCTACTACTACTACGTTTACTGCGGGTCATGGCTGTGGCTGAGTTTGTGCAGGCCTGTATGTGAATGCACGCACGCACACATAAACGCACACACACTCACGCATCGCAAACGCTCATGCACGTACGCACTTCACAGGAATCACATCACATCACATCACATCAGAACGGTGCGAAACGAAACGTGGAGTTGCTCCCGCTCTCTCTTTCTCTCTCTCATAGAGTAGTGAATTAAAATCCACTCCCACGATCGTCTAAAAGAGGAGAGAAAAGTCCATGGCTGGGAATTCCCATCATCCCCTCCTTCTCTACGACTCCCAGATGTCACAGATATCGCACCGCACTCGTGGAGTCTCTCGGCTTCTACCCTTTTATCCATTCCTTCTCACTCTCGTCATTCTGCTAATATCATTTCCACAGGGTAAGTTAATCCCTCCTACGATTGGTTTTAGTTAGTTATAACCAACCCCTCTCAGTCTGTGACCTTTATAATTTAACTGGCACAAGTCACATGCGTCATTTATGAAGGTTACAAAATCCTCATCTCATTTAGCCTTAGTCGATTTCAATAAATGCAAAAGTGTCTTCTAGGCCATTCCGATTTAAACTTATTAAAGTGGCTGTGATCCTTGTTGTCTTCGCGATTGGCAGTTTGTCGATGAAAGACAATTAAGCTGTTTATGCGATCCAGTCTATTTCTGCGTTAAGTGTAAGGACTTGAGGCAGCTGTACGCCAAACATGGTAAGTACTCATTAGTTTGCAGTTTCTTCCCATTCACAGGAACTAATCAAATTTGTTATTGACGACTGTTGTCTTTTTCACCCACCGCCTCTTCCTCCCATACCCTTGGTAAATGTCGGGGGCCATATATAACCTCGCAGCGATTCCGCACAGAATTTCCGATGACTACCACCTAGCCACCGTAATGGTCATCTTCCCATGGGGAACGCAGTGCATCTACGCATACAAAGTCTCGCTCGCATTTATGCAGCTGTTTTGTTGGAGCCGAAAACTTTTAATCTGGTTGTGGCCAAAGCGATAGCACCAACAACAACAACAGCGGTAGCAGCAACAGACATTACCGACAGTTTTTAGATCATCTATGAACGCTTAGCCTGTAGTGTGCTGACTAAATCTTCTTTACTTTGCGACCGAGGAGAGAACTCAATGAGGGTGGATGTTAACTTTGTGTTTGGAAATTCTGACGATCTTTTGGCAGACGGTGTCTTCTACTTAATTATCTCCTCTTTGTTGTTGAATTTGGATATGCATATAGCATGTAAAGTCAGTGCACAGTTTTTCGGCAGCTCATTATTTTGTTTACGCGGAAACGGAATATGGTCCTTTAGTAGCTTTATTTGTCCACGTCACATTGCTACCACACCTCGGGGGTGTGCATGTCCAAACGAGAGTGATTTACCATTGACTCGCGAAAAACAACTTCTTTTTCTTGTGATACCATCACCACCTGTTGTCTCTGGTGTTAAGTTCACTGGTAATCTATTCTCTCGAGTGTAGCTGTCTACGTTTCCCTTGATCCAGCCGATGCATACTCTCAAGGGTCTGAAAAAATGTCTATCATTTTAAAAGCCAGGTCCTCTTAGGTGGAACTCACTAATGCTCCCTAGTCTGCCCATTTTCTGGGATAAGGGGCTGTATTTCAGTTTCACTGATGGCCTCAGAGCTTCGACGGAATTGACGTGGCACTAATTTTTGTCGCCTGTATAATGGTGTCTTCTCTAGTATATCTTTAATCTGCTTGGTTCCCATCTGTGAGACTGTTTGAGCATTGGTCGATGACGCATAAAGAGCCAAAGACATAGAAACACCTTGTTTCAGAACGGTCCAACCGCTGCTCATTGGGCTCTCACTTTTGGATATCACTGCAGCTTCAGGACGAGTTTAAAGTGAGCTAGTCGTTTGAGCGTGACCTTTGCGAGGTAGATGTGGTCTCCATCATTGTCGGTGGTGGTGATAATTTTTCATTCGCTGCTCCCAACGCCGGTCAAGAAAGTGCTTCCCACGTTAATCATACACGCGTGCACGGTTTGCATTGAGGTCAGTCAGGATATGTGTGCGTGCGCTTGTCCGCGTCCACTCGCACCCGTCCTTGCACAGGAGCGGAAGAGAGACCATTTGTTTTTTTTGCCTCTCCCCCTCCCGCTCCTGCCTATTTCATTCACCAAACTCTCCTTGACGAATTTGAATAGTCGAGTTTGAGTCACTTTTGAGATAACGTCGAATTCTCTGATTTCAAGGCTGAATTCTACATATCTCTACCTGGGTTATGCTCATCAATGTGACCTCCAATTAAACTGACAACCTTATTTTTTTACAACTAAGTGTTATTGTGCATTTCAACTTCATTCCACTAGAATATTGTTGAAACTCTATGTTAGCTCTCCAGCTAGGCCACGCAAACAATGTATAATGCAATTTATTTCCTAATGAAGAAGATATCTTTTGAAAATGCACTTTTGTCTACCAGCGCATTTGTGTTCTTGCTACTTAAACGCCTCTGCATTGTCCGTCAAATCTCCCTAAAGGAATGTAATTGGAGAGATTGAAGGGTTGATAAATAGAACCGCCTTGTCAGTTAATTTAAAATCTGGCAAGAAAACACGTCTGTTAGCGTTGTCTGTTTCACTTTTGGGCTTATAAGCCCAAGCTTGAACTGTCGAGCGCATACCTTACGCTTAAACCGTTGGACATGACATCCTAAATGAAACATTACAGGAATTGTTTGGATTACCGTACGATATAATTCACGAAATGAGAAATCCTACGATTATCTCAATTAGGGTTTACTTCTCAGCAAAGCTTTTGTCTCCAGACAACATTTCAATCAACCAATTTGTCCATTACCCTCTTATGAAACTACTAGCGATATAGATATATATAGATGCAGAGTGGGATACGCTTTCCATATTTTGTGCTTGGCACTTGTTGGGTCTCCCAGATTAATCATCTTATTTCGCTTTTGAGCTTTAGTGAGGGACTTATGTAAGTAGGAATGTCAGGGATGCCAAAGCAACCAGTTTTCATGTTTTATAACGGCAATAGTTTTTGACGATGTAATTGTTGTTGAATGAGATATTTCAATTTTTCACCTTCCCCATCTGCTATTGTTTTCCTGACGACTTCAAATGGATAAACTGGTTCGTCTATGACTTTCAGTCTTATGAAACTAAGTCGTGTTTTCCTTGAGTTGAACGTCGAGCTATTTCACAACCGTTTCTGCCTTTAGCCTACTTGTAGAAAAGCACCGGATCTACCTTTGGTGTGGTGCTAATCAGCGGCAGTCACGTCTTTTCGGTTTCGTCAAATTAGTTGATGGTGTGTTTTAATTTTCTTTTCTGCTTTAGAACCGTTGCTTGAGCCATTCTTGTACGTCTTAAAGCTTTACATCCAAACAACTCACTTTCTAATTGACCTTTTTCTGATCCCAATTTGGGATTTGATTAAGATCTCCAAGCTTTCACTGGGCTCGTATTCGTGCCTTCCTTCTATCTTCATCCAAATGTAGGAATGGCTTGTTTTAACTTTTATCGACTTTATAATGCCCATCTCCTACCTCCGTGTACTCAAGTGACATTTATCTTTAACACCCAAATGGGATGCTGTTCACACACACATACACACATACCAAGCAGCATTGGTATTGCAATTGCACTAGCCGACTTACAGGACCCTAATTGTAGTGGCCTCAGTGCGGGGTTAAGTACACCTACAAAACCTTCATTCAACCTCTACACGCGCTCATGTTCTCCTGGTGAGCTGATAGGCGCATCGAGGTGGCCAAAATGAATTTAAATTCAGGTGTCCTCCCTTGTATTAATATCAGTCAACGTATTTCAGTCTTATGTCTGTCTTGTCTATGCCATTACTTGCGTTAAGGTGTCAGAAAGAGTTCTCAGTTCTCATAAGGTCATATTGGTCGATCAGAGCACCAACACATAGGCTACCAACCATACCACTCCAAATGCTATATGACAGGTTCAACCATTCTCGAACCGTAAGCGTTTACGTTCCCTCTATTCGGATCTCAGGAAATAATTTTACGCCAGAAGTCGATACACTGGTACAGAAAGCGTCACGATCATAGAGCTGAGGCATTACAAATACGCAATGCTGATCAGCGTTCCTCATCGGGGACGCTTTTAATATCTTGTTATCAACTACCCCATTCTTGTTGTTTAGATCCTGCCAGGTAAACTATGTCAAAAGCAATTGTTTTTGTTTTAACATTATAGGCTTGTAGGGAGTTTAGATAGCGACAATGTGGAGGAATAACTGTCTGCACCCACGTTTTTTTTTCAGATCGAAATATTTTTTCCCAGAATTTTTGGTCTTATAGTTAATTTACGTTTGTCTTACTCTTTCACACTCTCACTGCCCTTTGCTCAGCCTCCATATAAGAGGCTCGGTTGAGTGGACTCATGCTGCTTGCTTTATGGACGTTAGGAGATCTGAAATAAAATTTGTAAGCAATTGAAAGCACGTGTAACCAACTTTTCATTGCCACTGATCATTTATGATGTGGATCTCAGCCAATGTCGATGTCACCGAGTTCTTTGACAGGTTTCTTTTTGAGATTTTTAACACTGGAAAACTACCGTTTATAAACTATGTAAACTAAAGTGCAAATTTTAATCTGCCCAAATTTATTCGGAAATGTTAAAAGTGTACAGTGAGGCGTAGTAAAGGAAATCAACTGGTAGAAACATTCTAAGATTACCATTTTATCCTTTTCACCGTCAATCATTACCCTTAATGAATGACAAATTCTCTTAACAACGAAATCCAACTGATTCATGATTAAATAAATGGTTTCCTATTGGGATATTTGCTACTTTCCTTCTACCTTGTACTTGGACTTCAGCTGAAGTAGAAAATTTGCCCAGAACGGAGGAAGACACTACACTGAAGGTTTCTAGTCAGCAGGCCTTACTGGCGCCTACGTTTTAAATTGTAGTGGTGGTAGTGCTCTTCAAATGCAAATCGAGCGCGTGCACACAACGCGGCATTTGGACGTCAATTGTTTACTTGATTTATCACGCATGTACACGTACGCGGAGTGATGTGGTGACGGCTTTACTTACGCCCGATGCATCAACGACTCCCTAGCTGAAGTACGTGGCTTCAAGCTCCATGCCACACACAGAGATTGAAGAGTCGCTGCTAAAGGCCTACATATCCTCATGTTTCGTACACACCGCGAGCAGTTACGGCTGTCGTATGCACTATGGCCTAAAGACGATTATGTTCTTGCTGAACCTGGCTCTTGACAGAGGAACCCCAAAAACGGCTCAATAAGACCTTTTAAAGGAGCCCTTAATAGTTTATAATCTAAGTGACATTGAGTAGTATTTTGTGTGAAGCGTTCAGTACTGAATAAACGGCTTTGCCGCAGAAAATTTTCATGGGTTTTTGCATTCACAGCTTAATGGATCCCTTATTTGTATGCCTTGGGCGACAGTGCGGTTTTTTTATCTGCTTATACTACTGACTTCATGAGTCATAAAGAACCGGGAGGAAAAAACTCCAGTCAATTGTCAGTTGTGGGTTGTACCAGAGAGGTAAATATATTGAACAATTTCGAGTTTATTAACCTGGTCCGCCTCAATTTTTGGACAATTCAACGCCTTCCATATGGCATCACAACCCAAAATTACCCATTTACTTGAAGAAGTTGGCTGTCGAAAGGCGTCGTTGTCTCTTTGACCAAGTAACATTAAAGTTTGTAGGAAAATGCACAAGAGAAATCGGCTGATCCAACACGTTATCGTTGAAGACATATGGCTGAAAGGGTAGCGGTCGCTCACTACATTCGAGCACATTTTAGTACACATACCGAACCTCAATCCTCGTCATCTGCAAGCAAAAACCTTGACACATTGCCTCTCGTTTTCCATATATTTTTATGCAGAGACTTCCACACAGTCACTCTGTCTCCCAAACCCTTGCCAAAATGGGGGCGAATGCGAAGTGTCTAATGATGCTCCAGGTGGTTACCAATGCATCTGTCTTGAACCCTACGGTGGTCGCAATTGCACCATTGAGAACCCCACTTGTATTGACCAGCCCTGTCTGAACGGCGGTGTCTGTGAGGATATGCCAAATCGACAGTTCAAGTGCTTTTGCCGTCCTGGCTTCGCGGGTAGGCCACTGGACTCCTCACTTGGTTACATGCACGAAGTGGAAGTATGTTGCGACGCTATTTTTTCTTTTGCAGGTTTAAGGTGCGAATTTGAGGACCCCTGCCTGGTGAAACCCTGCAAAAATGGAGGTATATGCTTCTCTAACAACCTTGGAAAACGGGAGTGTCAGTGTCCAGCTGGTTTCACGGGCGAGGATTGCAGTGTGGATATAAACGAATGCGAGGTCGAAGAAAGATCTCCCTGCGAACCAAATGGCATCTGCATTAATGAGGCGAGAATTACTGCTTTTTGCAGAGTTTTATTTAAATTTAGCCTTATAATTGCAGCCATCTTAATGCATTCTTGGCCAATGGCATTTTTCGTAGCGTCAAAAATTGCCCTTAAAGAAGCACACCAAACCGAAAGTGGCTATATAACCGGAATTTGAATGATATTAGAGACCGAAGCTGAATGCTACCCATGTTGACTTTCGACCAATTCGAGTTCTTATCGTGCCGCTTGGATAGGAGACCTATATGTATATGCGATCGGCATATTTATCTCCCTGTCCTATCAATCAACCCGGCATTAGTCTTCTCACAGAAAACACTTCTCCATCCGTGTGCTTGTGCGTGTGTATACGGGTCCCACGTAAATCTCTGCTCGCTTTTTCTGTATTTAACTGCCCGGCTTGTACACATTTCGTCATTTGAGTCATCATCAAATACATTATAGTCTGCCTTTTCCACTTGTAGCCTGGAGGATATCGATGCGAGTGTTTAGACGGCTACACAGGAGTCCGGTGTGAAATTTTTGTGCCAAGCTGCGAATCCAATCCCTGTAAGAACGGCGGCGTCTGTAAGGACAGAGGGGACCATTTTGAGTGCCTCTGCCCACTTGGTGAGTCCCTGAAATGGCACCAAGGCAGCTATAATGGCGGTGGTAGAAGCAGCCAGTATGAGATGTGCCAAAACGATACATACAAAGTGATGATAGGATGAAGGAAAGGAGGAAAAGGAGCACCCAGCAGTGCTGTACTGTCCTGTCCGTGTGCGTGCGGTGATGGCGGTAGATTTTGCTGCTCCGCTTACGAGACATACCCACTGACCAGCCTTACCTCATCACTTCGAATAGATTCTTGTTTTTCTTGCCTATCTCCCGCTCACTCCAATGTCTTTTCTCATTAGCGTGAGATGTCAACACTTGCTTATCCTGCACAC